ATTACAGGCATGCACCAATGCACCAGGCTATGGGTTGGCATTTTTAAATGCTCTGTCATATGGATTATATGGGGCTTCAAGAAGTTGGGATTTTCTTGCGGTCATGCAGCTGGTGACCAGTTAGGCCAGGCCTCTGTCCAGCTCCAGAGGCTGAACTTGTAGCTATATTTGCCCTGTACTTCCTTCTTAATGTGAGCTTCTCTGGATATCCCACAGGAAGGGCCCTGCATCACCTTCCTGGGTCCCCTGGTATTGAGGATCTTGAAGAAGGATAATGTATAAGGACCTGAGGTACTCAACCTAATTTAAAGTCCACTTCTAGGTCTGGTTAGGAACCTGTATCTCAGTAGGAACAAAGTATGTAGAGAGGAGAAAGCTAGGAGGAAAGTTGAAGTAAAAATGCTTAAGGTATGACCTGTTATGTATCAACTCACCAAAGTAAATGTGATTATTATGAATCACGAACATACCATAAAATAAACAATCAAAAAAAAAAAAAAAGAAAGTAGAGAGTGAGTTGAGTGCTAAGCCTTTTCAACAGTATTGAAGAAAAACCCTACAGGCTGAGGCTAGGAGAGCAGGTAAAATTTAGGATTAGGTAGGAGCATGCTGAACGCTGAAATCCTCTGGGACCTGACAGAGAGGGGATCCTTTGCCAATCCTGGCATTAGGTGAGGAGATCATGAGAATAAAAATATTAATAAATGGAGGGAAAGCAGTAACTCTTAGGTCTTACTACACAGGTGGCAGCTTGCTAAACTTTCTTAAAAATTTTATTTAAGGAGAAAAAAAACCAGAAAAAGGGTATAAGTTATACCGAATTTCAGAAAAAATAAACAGTAGGAAATCACTAGTTAATAGATTACATATTGTCATCTTAGAAATAGTTGTTCAAGTTACAAAATTAAAGCATGTAAAGTGGACATTCAAACAGCGAGACTGCAAACAATTCTGTTCAATGATCCAATAAAACTCAGTAATATTGTTATCTATCTTATATACTTAAATATACATGTAGTTATATCCTTTAGAGCACTTTGTTTTCCTCTCTTTTGTACAATGACAATTACACATTTTGGGTTTTATTACTCCCACAGTTCTTATTACTTTTTTTGAAGAGACTAAAACCAAATGTGACATAACAAAACAGATTCAGTCAAATCAAAAGGATGGACATAGTACATAATGTAAAAACAGAATACAAGGTGATCAACAATGGTTCCATAATGCCTCTTGCTATCTTAAAAAGAATTGCCTATACCATCAGTTATAATAAAATTGAACAAAACAGTAAAGAACAAGACCAATAAAACCAAAACATTGGAGACATTACAGGACTTCAAAAGAAGATAATAGTCAAACCAGAATGGGCATCATAATGAATCTTATTGTCTTCACAGTTGTTGCCTATACTCTCGAACTTGGTACTATTAAGCAAAACAGAATAGGGTAAAGTCAGTCAAAACAAGATGGTGAGAGCAATACAGGGATTCAAATCAAGTTAATAGGAAATCAAAGTGGGTTACTATAATATATCCTGATATTTTTTATTTATTTTTCCCCTTAATTAAAAAGATAAAAATAAAAAGTAAATAATAAAAAAAAGGAGATTAAGATAAAAGAGGGCATAACAACAAAACAGCACAGGTCAGAACATAACCATTTAAGCAAAATAGTGTTTCGCCACAAGATATTCCGACATAAAAGTAGTTACCATAGTGTCTCTTTCCTTGAAATCTTTGAGTATAACTTTGTATACTGTATTGTTAAACATTTTTATATGGTTCATTTCATTTCTTACCTCTCCATCTCTAAATACTCCTGTTCATCCCATTTAAAGAACAAGATCATGAACCTCGTGGATATTTTGCAGTTACCCTTGGTCTTCCCTGGGCCATGTTGGCTCAGCTCCAGGCCTGCTGACCCCCATAGTTTTCTGTCTGAAGCAATCGTTAAAATGTTGGCTGGAAATATAGCTCAGTGGCACAGTGCCAGTCTGGCAAGTGTGAGGTCCTGAGTTTGATTCCTGGTACCCCCCCTGCCCTCCAATGTTGGCAAAATGGAGAGGAGAGAAAGAGGTTTTCACAAAGAAAAACAAACAAAACAAAACAAAACAAACAAAAAAAGAAAATAGAAGATGCTAGAAAGCCATGATTTTGAGTTATTTTTATATGCTTGTTTGTTTTTCAGCTTTATTGAAGTAAAATTGACAATTACATATATTCAGGGTGTATGCATATACATTGTGTAATGATTGCCACAACCAAACTAATCAACATTATCTATTGCCTCACATAGGTTCCCTGTGTTGTACATATGGTAAGGGCATTTATAATCCAATTCTTAGTGAATTTCGAGTATGCAATCTAGTATTAATTGTAGTCACCATGTTGTGCATTAGATCCTCCAAACTTACAACCAAAACTTTGTACCCTTTGGCCAATGTTTTCTCATTTCACCTTATCAAATGTGCTACTCTACATCTATGAGTCTGACTTTTTTAGATTCTAAAGAAGGTAGATCATGACTGTCCTGTGTCTGGCTTATTTTTCTTAGTGTAATGTTTTCCAGGTTCATTCATATTGTAACAAATGGCAGGATTTACTTCTTTCTTAAAGGTTGAATAGTATTCTGTTGATAACTCTCCTGTTATTCATTATGGACAACTGAGTTGTTTCCATATCTTGGTTATTATGAATAATTACGTATTCTTTTTATTTTTAGTTACAATTCCTTTCTTATAGAAACCGGAGCTCATCCCAGAAGTTGGGCCAGCAACTCAATCAGCACATGTGTTTAGGGAAATGAATGATTTTCTTTAATTATTTATTTAAAAATAATTGTTTGTAGTTACTCTTGTAGAGTGAATAGTCACGGGTAAAAGAACGGGATGCCTTTGAGGGGGAGTTTTGCTAAAGAATTTGAGCACATTAAATATTCCTTTATTAAAGAAAATATTTGGAAGAGTGGTTCTCAAACATGAGCTTGTTGGTAAATAGGTGGTAAAAATCACCTATTACCTTATTTATTAGAACATAGATTCCTAAGTCTTTTCTCTAGAGTTGGTGGGTCAATGTGGTATGGGGTGGGCTCCAGGAATTTACCTTTTTTAAAGTGGCACTTAAGTTAACATGTTTTCAGTTGTTCTTCTGACCATACTTTACAAATGTTGGGTTAGAAAAAGGAGACTGGCCGAGCATGGTGGCTCATGCTTATAATCCCAGCACTCGGGAGGCTGAGATAGGAGGATCGTTGTGAGTTCGAGACCAGCCTGGGCTACAAAGTGAGTTCAAGGCCAGCCTGAACTGCATAGCGAGACCCCATCTCAAAAAAGACCAAAAAGAAAAAGGAGGCTGCAAAGGGAAAAAACAAAGGAATTGTAAAATTTACAGAGCTCAAAAAGATTCAAGAAAGGCAAGGAAAAAAAAACCCAAAAAAACAAAAAAACCAAAAAAAAAAAAAAAAAAAAACAGACCAGGGAGGAAAACTAGGATGTGTGGAAGTTGATAAATTTAAATCCAAATACAGAAGTTATATAAAATACAAACAGAAAGGGTCAAATATATGCTGTTTAGTGGAACACTATAAAACTAAGTTGAAAGTTATACAAATGAAAAGGATGTATGTTTATAAATACTTTGAGAAAAATCTGTGAGAAAAACCTGTGTGGCTATTTAATGAGACAGGAGTCAAACCAGACTTCCCATGAAAGCAAGGCTGTTTGGAACAGTAGCTTCCACACAGAGGGGAAGTAGGCTGAGAACAGGGAGGCAGCGCTCACAGACTCAGTCTGGAGCAGAAGCCCAGAGATGACTGCATCTGGCTGCTGTGTCTGTACAGGATTGATACTGACAGGAGCTTGGCCGTGTACCTCTCCCAGGGCGGCCTCTGCACTGGCAGCTGCAGCTGGTGTGTGGTATCTTAGTCTAATATAGAATGCTCAGGAGTTGCAGAGAAAGCATCCTGCTAGGTGCACTGGCCCCAGAGAAAGGCTGCATAGCTACTTGCTGGCCTGAGCAAGAACAAGTGGATGGGGAGGCTTGGCATGGTGGTGCATGCCTATCATTTCAGCATTTGGGAGGCAAACCCACAAGTTTGAGGCCAGCCTGGGCTATATGGTGAGTTCACACATAGTTGAACTACATAGTGAGATCCTGTCTCAAAAAAAAAACCAAGTAGGTAGGAAAAGGTCACAATGACTAGCAGATGAGTTTTGTTAAACAAGTTGAATCAGCAATTGGACATTGAGCCCTAGCCAGAAAGTACCTTACAAGACTGTGTGGACAAAATAGTGTCAGTCATGGTGTTTGTCCCCAAGAGTGTAAACTGTAGACTAGGGGCAATCTACTCTAACCATTAAATATTTTGGAAATCAAGTAGGTATGGAGAGTAGGTATGGCTGCTTCTGCCACGCTGCCAATTTGGTGGTGGCCTGCCCCTTTTGACCTGGGCACCAAGGTTAATGAAGCCTGTTACATCATGTTGTAATAAAAGTAGTGATGATTAAGGTGCCTTTCCTACTTTTCCTATCTAAAATAACATCCTTCATTTCTAGGGAATCACCAAACCCTCTTTGCTTTTCATCTCAGCACTTAGTAGGAGTTCTGATATTCTACTGTACATCTTTTTGCTTGTTATCTGCCATTCCCCTTAGAGTATAAGCTCTATGTGGGTGAGAACTTCATTCGTCTCCACATCTAGAACAGTGGTTGGCACTGTCAAAGGAACAACTTTTGAGAATTGATTTGTGTTGGGAACTATGCCAACTGTTTTAGGTACATCATCTCATTTTACCTAAGAATTTTGAGGTAAGCATCATCCTATTTTGATAAGATTAAGAGATTAAGAGATATGATAAGAGATAAGATTAAGGCTCAATGAGACTAAGAAAAAACGATCCAGGATCATACAGTCTGTAAGTGGGAGAGCTAGAATTTGAATCCCAGATTGGCCATGAAACCCTTTACTGCTATTTTTCTCAACATTGCTTTCTTCTGCAGGGTCTGAGGACATGGCCCGAAAGGTTCTCAAGCTTGCTTCATGGACCAGCATTGCTCTTGCTGCCTCTGGGGTTTATCTCTACAGCAACAAGTACTTGGACCCTAATGACTTTGGTGCCGTCAGGGTGGGCAGAGCAGTTGCTACGGTAGGTTTTTCTCACTTTGGAGGTAGCAGAGGAACTACAATTTTTTTTTTCTTTTTTTGTCCTTTTGAGACAGGGTCTCGCTATGCAGTTCAGGCTGATCTTGAGCTCACTTTGTAGCTTAGGCTGGTCTTGAACTTGCAGTGATCCTCTTGCCTCAGCCTCCCAAGTGCTGAGATTACAGGTGTGCACCACCACGCCTGGTTGGAACGTCAGTGTTACTTGCAGGTATATCATATGCACAACAGATAGATACGCAGGTCATACATTTGTACCATTACAAGGGCCAAAACTCCATTTATACAGTTGCGTAGACATGGATGTGCATCTCATGTATCTTCATTTCTCTACACACAACCTCTGTCATCCTGCAGCTCAATAGAATATGATTGCATGAGATCTCTGTTCTGAACATTTATGTTTTAGGTTCTGTATCTTATTATACTGATAACTCATAGGGGCAGCAAGCACCTCTCAGCAAACACAGAGGAAAGAAAACTTTATGGAAAGAAGACCTTGCAGATTAAATTCTGCCAGCAAGCTTGATTTTATTCTAGTGAGTTAGTGTGAATGCATCTACATACTCTAAAGCATTGATGGCGAGCTTTTAGTGATACAGACAGCCCTCTGCGGCATGCTTGCCAAGGATTCGCTACCACTGCTCTGGGGTATCCATGTCCTGGAAGACTTTGAGAATTTCTTGGTTCCTCAAAGAGTGAATCCAAGTTAAATAATGGATCTTTAGAGGTTTTCTTTTGTAGGTACTCAAATATTTGGAAAGAAGAGGGGAGGGTATCAACTGGTGCTTCGTAAAACAGCTGCTAAGCTCTGCATTCTTTAAAGGGCTCTGGTACATTCTTCACAGTGACCTGGTGGTTGGTGTTTAATGAGTATATGTCGAATGGAATTATGCCTCGGAGGGTGCAAAGAATCATTCTTTAATATAAATCTTGTAAGCTTCTTAATTTCTAGGGTCCTCAGATGCTCAGTTCTAAAAAGGGAGGTTTAGACTTGATAATCCTTAAAGCTCCTCCATGCCTGAGATATCTAGGAATGTGTACTTTTCTGATTCACCAAGGATAAGGGAACCTGTTCAGAATAAAAAATTATGCTGTTAGAACAAACGTAAATACAGGATAATGTTTATTTGTGATATCTTTTTAAAGAATAGGATAAATTTATCTGGTGGCATTCATTCAATTAGTATTTATTGAGCTTCTGCTCACGTGCCTCACAGTGTAAAATGTGCTGGGGTACAGTGAAGAACTGAAAGGACCAGGCCTTGTGTTTATAGAGCTTCAATTTAGAGACTTTATAAACAAGGAAACAGGTAAGCAGGGAACTTTTGGGTGATGGAGTATTATGATAAATAATTAGGAGCTCCTGGTGGAGAGGGGCAGCTTTAGGATGGTCTTTTTGCAGAGATGGCATTTGTGCTAAGCCCTAAGTGCTGGGAAGAAGTGGCTGAAATCTGGGGATAGGGCATCTGAGGGTGGACTGGTGCCTTCTGTAGGTCTGGCAGCCCATGTTGGGGCCTGCAGCTGTAGGGCGTTGGTGTTTGAGTGCTAAGCTTTCCCCTTCTTTTCCCCTCACAGACAGCCGCCATCAGTTATGACTACCTCACCTCCCTAAGGCATGTCCCCTATGGCTCACAGGAATACTTGCAGCTTCGATCAGAGGTAAGAGAACAATGGGGGCCCATCTGAACTGGGACAGCTAGGAGGCTTCCTGTGGGCAGTTGGAGGGGAGCGGAGAGCAGAAGGGTATTGACACGAGGGCCACTGGCAGGGGGGTTTGGAAGGAAGGTAGTACTACCTCCTTCTGTATATGCAGGTATTTTAGTGCCTCTCAGTGGGGCTGTCAGATCGACAGTAAGCTGGGTCTCTTGATGTTGGGTTATTATCTCCAAGGTGCTGGCTGGGAGGCTGGTGTGTGATTCTGGTCAGGGAAGTTGTGTGTGAGGTCTCAGGAAGAATGTCCACTCTTGTTCTTTTCCTCCTCTCCTTTCTCCTCTTTTTTCCTTTCTCCTTTTCCCCTTTCCCTTCCCTAGCCCTTACTTTATTATGTTATTTTACTAGAGGGTCTTTCTATGTGACCTAAATTGGCCTCAAATTTATAATGTTTGTGCTTTAGCCTCCTGAGTAGCTGGGATTATAAGCATGGGTCACTAAGCCTGCGGGTCCCCGACAACTTCTAAACTGTCTTCTTAGCCAAAATCCAACTGAAGGAGATTAAATGCTTCCCTGTCCTTTGAAGGCCACTTGGAGACTCTCGTTGGAGAGGAACTGTCAGCTCATTGTGGATGCTGGGAACTAGGCAGTTAATTTGGATGCTGTATCTAGATATCCTTAAGCGTTGGGGGATCAAGGAAGAGAGCACTTTTGTGGGATGTAGGTTGAACTTGAGGTCAAGCATAGATACTTTTGGCTCTTCCAGAGAGTTTTGGATACACTGACTGGCTTGTCTTTGTTCAGGTGGTCCCCTCAGCCTGAAATGTTCTTTTGCCCCTTAGAAAATCCCTAATTATCTTTTTGGGTATATATGTGTGAGGCTTTCCTTCTCAGGCATTCTTTGTACATATGAAAATTAATTTTATAATTTGTATTTAAACTTTTCATTATGAAAGTTTCATCCATCTACAAGAATAGATAAAATAGTGTCATGAGCCCCTCTGGAGCCCTCTGACTTAAGAAGTTGTCAATATTTAATTTGTCATTTATTCCTTTATTTGTTCATTCTGTCATTTTTTAATTTTTTTTTTTTACTGAAATATTTTACTGCAAATCCAAGGCATTTTATTGTTTCATCTGTAAACAGTTTGGTATGTATCTCTAACAGATAAGGACTTTTGAAAAATCATAACCATGATACTGTGATCATACAAGATTAGCATTCTAACTGGGTGTGGTAACACATGCCTGTAATCCCAGCACTCTGGAGGTTGGAGCAAGAGATTGCCATATCTGTGCCTTATTGAGACCAATTTGGATTACAAAGTGACACTCTGTCTCAAATCAAAATAAAGCAAAATAAAACAAAGCAAGAAGAAGAAGAACAAAAAAGACTAGCAATTCTTTAATAATCTCTAATAGCTAGAAGTGTTCAAATTTCCTTTGACCCTAAGATACCTTTTTATAGTTAGTTTCAGTCTGGATTCAACAAGGTATATGCATCACATTTGGTTGACATTTCTAAATCTTTTAAAATCACATAGAGTTTCCTTTTCCTTCTTTGCTTTATTTTTATCTTCTTTTTAATTTTAAAAAATTTATCTAGCTATTTGCTTGCTGAAGAAACCAGATCATTTGTTTTATAGAATTTTCCATATTTAGGATTTGGCTGATTGCATCCTCTAAGTGTTTGAATGGATAATATGTTTAAATGGCACACAATTTAAAATGTATAATATTTGAAATAGACAAAATGACCCTCCTACCCTTTTTCTTGGAGGCAGTCATTATTTCTTGTGTATTTTTCCAGAGATAACTTTCTATTTGAATTTAGTTGCTCTATCTTTATTCCTGCCACAAATGATAGTTGTTACATGTCTTTTCTGTTTTTACACTGTTGCTTCCTTTATGTAGGAGACTGGGTGTTCTTTTTGTGTATTGTTTTCAGTGATGATACCTAAAACAGAGTTGATTTGATGTCTGTTTTAGTACAGACTATATGCTACTAGCTCCTTGTCTTTGGAGAGGCCCACAGAAGAGTCCAAAGTTTGCAGTCAGAAGACCTGAGTTTGTGCCTTGGCTTTGGGAAGGTCACCTAACCTTTTGGAATTGTAATTTTCCCGGTCTATAAACTACATATGGTTGTACATTTACTGACGCTTAAATAAATAATATCTGAAACAGAACTATGCCTTGTAAAATGTAAAGCAGATGTGAAAATAAGTAGGATGTCTCCTGGAAGACATGCTTCATACAGAAAGGCTTGGTCTGTACTGTGTATATCTAGGACTGTAGCACTTTTAAGAGCACCCAAGACGCAGCTGGTTCTGAATAGACTTGTTGAACAATCAGATGAATGAAATACTGGTTTTTATTGAAGGATCTCAAACCCTCTGCCTGTAAGACTTAATGTATCTCTGCTTTCCCCCAGTTCCTCTTTCATCTAACCAGTGCTGTGAGTCTTTGAACCCCCCATAGTGAATTCTGTAGTGAGACTGACGCTAGGACACAGGAGTAAGACTTCTGCCTTGAGAAATCTGCGGAGCAGGCAGGCAACAAATGTTGTAAAGACAATTGTCTGTCCACATGTAGGTCATGTGAAAGACTGATGTTGCAGCTCCTGAAGAAGTTGATAGCACTGGGGATGCAGTAAGTGAAGTGCAGCTTGGCTGATGAGAGGCAGCACATGGTGGCTTGCACCAGTTAACAGAGTGTAGGCTGGTCCAGGAGTTGTGCCTGGGAAGGGGAAAGTGGCTGGCATGAAAGAGCAGAGTAAGTACTGCAGGAATGTTTTCTTCCATTGGAGTACATATCTACTCTCATCATTGTGGCTGATAAAGAAATGAGCAAAGGATAACACATAATTATCTCACCTGTCAAGCCAGCACCTCCAGTTCCAGAGTAGGTCAGAGCTAAAAGACTAGCAGAGCAGGCAGTGACTTTAAGAAGTACTTTCAAGGTTGGTGCTGGCTGAGTGGGTTCTCATGACTCAGCTGTGCATCTGGAGAGTGGGCAGACACATAAAGACACAGGTCTTAGGGGCACACTGGCAGGCACTTTGGTAGGGGGCTAAGGGGAAGTGCTCAGGGGCTTAGGAGAATTTCTGGTGCCTTGGATATCCATCACCTGGGATGCATGTGACCTGGCTTTTCATGAAACAGAAGGAAGTAGCTGCTTATGTAATATCCAGGTAAAGGGCTAGAGGAAGCAGGGCAGGATTGATTCTGACCAGGGTGTTGAGATTTAGTAGATAGCTCTGAATTTTTGCAGCTTGGAAGCCATTCTTATTTTGGAGAACAGCTGTATGAGGTTTGAATAGGGCTTAACTCCACCCTGGTTAGCCAGGCAGTTGGTGGAGTCCATTCTGTTGGCCCATAGAGATTGATTCAGGGATAGACACCTGAGCCAGTTCTGGCCAGTGAGCACTGGGTCCAAGACTTTTTGGGAATAGCATCTCTGACCTGTTTCACTGGGTTAGTTGAGAGTGTTGAGATATTGGCTTAGAGCTGCTGACAACCATCTTCTCACCATAAGGGCAAAATCCATCTACCCATGGAGCTTGTTTTGCAAAGAACTGTCAGTTTCATTATTGATAAATGCTTGGCTGGATATTCATTTTGGTGCTGGAGCAAGAGCTTTTGCTTGGGCCAGTGATGCTGCTCAGCAGCACAATACCTGCCTAGCAACCACAAGGCCCTGAATTTGATTTCTGGTATCCCCATCCCCCCAGAAAGAGATTTTTTTGCTGACTTCACCCCAAACTCAATGGACTTCCTACCTAGGCACAGATGTGGCAGGACAAGCTTTCAGATGGAGGCCTGCCTCTTAGGGAAGAGAAGAGCTGAATACTAGAGCTACACAGTTAAGCAGATTCCAAAAGCAGAGAAAGAAAATGGTGTGAGCTGCTCCCAAACTCACCATTTGGGTTGGTGACTTCTTGTACCACAAGGAGAAGGGAGGGAAGACAGAGATCAGTAGTATCACACCTCTCTCTAATAGGGCTCCCTCCATTGCTCACATGAAATTTAGAATAGGGCATTAACCAGTGTTATGGTTAACATCTGGATGTCCCCCCAAAGTCTCAAGTGGTCACAGAGGGGTGCTTTTTAGAGGCAGCTGAATCTAGAGTTTGTGATTGATTCATGGTCCAATGCTGGGATTATGGATGTGAGTGCTACATCCAATCTGGGGCAGGTAACCAGCATACAATATAAGGGAGAGGAAGAGGCTTGCTCTTCCCTTTTTCTCTTTTTGCCTCTTTTGCTCTTGTTGCTTTGTATCTTCCACTGTTTTGAACTACTCTGTGACACCCTGCCTTGGAGCCAGCTGAATGTGAACTGAAACCTGCATAAACTGAGCTAAATAAACCTTTACTTCTTTAATTTTGGGTGCTGGGTATTTTGTCTCAGAAATGAGAGAAAAGTAACTAAGACAACCAGCAACACTTTGGGAAAGACAAATTAGCTGTAGATTTTCTCTAAGGATTTCTTGTGCCTCTCAAAATCTGCTAATTTTTATATCTGATCTTGGTTGGGGCATAGGCTACTTCAGGTTTGAGTATTAGATACTCATTTTGGCAAGTGCTAAAATCTGCACTTAGAGGGAGGAGTAAACTTGTAGAGCCATGGGATATAGCAGTATATTTTGGGATATAAGGGTGTCCATTTCTGACCAGTATAAATAGGCCAGAACAGTGTAAGGGACCAAGGGGTGATGTTGACACCATCCATAATGACTCATTTGAACTTGACAAAGACATCATGGGCATTACTTGTCTCAGGTCTCTGCTATACAAGTGTAGATCTTTTTGTCTAGGGGGGTGATGTGATTTCTTCAGCAGCCTCTGTTTGCCCTACTTGATTTTGACATTGAGATCTTGCTTCATCTTGGGTTTATTGTACTTTTTACTCTGTGATGTTCTTGTTTATCTGCTGAGATTTCACCTGAGGGAAAACACCATGTTAGCTAGAAAGTGGAAGCCAAGGATTCTGTGCAGCAGTCTTTGCCAA